TTGGAATTATGTTCAGCATATAAACTTAATATTCTAGTCCAATATATCTAAAATTTTTAAAATAAAAGGAAAATATTTATATAAATATTTTTTATTTAGCAAGGAAACTTAGAATATCTCAAAAATTAAGATGAGTTTTAAAAAATTCACCCTTCCAACGCGTTTTAATATTAGCTCCTTGTTCTTCATAAATACAATAAAAAAACATATTGTATTATGTAAAAAATTATATTGCCAAATAAATAATATGAAGTTTAATTTCCAATAAATTTTTATTTATTGTAAACACTTTATTAGAAATGATACTAAAAAAATTTATAATGTACATTTATATCTCGGATAAATGATGACAAAACATTATATACAATATATAAAAAATAATTTTATAAATGGATATATATTATAAAATTATATAAGGGTATCTTTTTTTTTAAATATGGTATACTTTCCTGATCTCTTGTTCCATATATCGGGCTGCCAGTTTTTAATTTCCGATCTATGAAGGTATAAGCAAAAATCCCTAAAAGAATAATTCTTCTGAATTTTAAAATTAAATTATATTTTTATATTTTTATATTTTTATATTTTATAATTGAATTTTCTGAATTACTAATAGAAAAAAACTTTAATTTTATTTTTACTTCATATTTAAAAAAAATTCACTCTTTTTTACATGACCGAATGATATTGATCATAATATTAGTCTATTTTTTTTTATGAATAGGTTTAAAATGAAAAGAAAAAAATATTTTATTATAGGAAAAAGCTTCTTTTAATCAATACTTAATAATTTTTGTATAAAATTTAAAAAAAGAAAAAAATTAATACTCAAATTTGAACCTTTAAATCAGAGACCTTCATATGCCGGAGCGGTCTGCGGTGAGTCGGGTATGGGCCTAATACTATCTAGCTGACCTGGGCCTAAAATAATCTATTTTAAAACAGCTAATTTAAAAATATATTGCAATTTTTTTCTTTATAATAATAATAAATTTTAGCAATGTAAAGAAAATGATCGCCATACACTTAAATGTTTATTTTTATTAAATAAAATTAATTTTTTTGAAACTTATAGGGGGGCTTTGCCCGGTTTTAGGATTTTTTTTTAATATTAAATATGGGCCGGGCCCTGGGCCAAATAATTTTTTTTATTCCCGGCATGGGCCAATTAAATCTTATGAAGGCCCCTACCTTCAATAATTATTTTTATTTAAATTAGGGTTAGCTCGAATGATGCAACAATACATTTTTTTTTTGCTGAAATTGATTACATTAAAATTTAAAACCATAAACTACTTCTCGTTTATCCGATATTATATCTTTAATAAAAAATTACTTTCATAAAAAAAATATAATATTTTAAAAGCGATTTTTCTTTTTACACTTATTAGAAAATCCTATAAGTTTGATAAAATAAAATTAACTAATTTTTATGATCTTTTATCCGAGTATTTTTAAAACGATATGTATAGTCTTGAGATCAGGATGGTCATACATTATTTTAGTTTTACATAATATTGTTGTCCATTATAAATTAAATTTTAAAATTATACTATATTTTTTTAATATTTATATAATCATAAAAAATGTAAATTTTTAAAATTATGAGATATTATTAAAAATTTTGAGCAAATTAATTGAAAGAAGATGGGGGGAGGGAGGGCTGGAAGATTTGGCAAAGCTTAAGAGAAATTGGGAGCTCCTATATAAAAGAATGACATTACCAATAGAAGTTTTGCGCAAGAACAATTGTTTTGTTATAAAATAAATATTATATAATAAAAGTTCTAATTTTCAATGAATAATTTTGTTATCAAGGTGTTCTTTGACTCCTAAATTTAGAAATAACACCCACCCATGTATAAATATAAATGACAATCATATAGATGGTTAAGATGTAATAATTGATTTAGTTTATAAAGTATAGAGAATAAAACTGTATATATTAAAAAAATTAGATATTTTTTTAGGAACACCTTGCTATTTCGAAACTTGGAATAGGGCATGTTTGGTTAGAGCGAAATAGTAAACGTAAAAATGCATTCGCTCCCCTCCTCTGATTATTATAGATTAATAGTCGATTTTAAAGTACACACATTTTAAAATTCTATGTAAAGTCTTTAAAATAGCTATCACTCTGATGAGTCTCACTAGGCATGACGTATTATATGAAAAATTATTTAATGCGCAAGAAAGTATTTAATATTTATTTAAAAATATTAATTTAAAGTAAAAGGCCGGACTAGTAATTATTTCCTATCTTTAGTGTTTTAAGTAATTATCCTTTAATAAACAATTACCAAATAAATCACACTTTTTTTTTGATGAAATGAATTCGTTTTTTTTATCAGGTGGTTTTAGAGATCATTAATATTTTGTTGTATCTTTTTTGGTATTAGAGTTAATATGCGTTATTTGTTGCTTATTACAAAAAAATTTGTCATTTTTTTAAATAAAATTTTATGAGTAAGAATTATTTTACCATTCAAATATCGCCATTTTTCTGAAAAAATGTATTATATTTTTTTCAAAAAAGAATTTGTTTATTAAAAAATAAATAATAAAAATAACAATTTTTATCTAAAATATCTTTTCTTCATCTTAATTAATATGTTAGAAGAGTTCAAAATAATTCTCTAATGATAAGGAAAAATGAAGGGATCCCGCAAAAGTTCTAGTAAAGATTCATTAGTAATTAACGTGATACCACCGGAAGATGAAGAGTCTGGCTCATCAAAACCTAAACGTGGCACCCCGTCTATTTTCTACAATTCCGGAGAAACCCTGGGTAACGATAAATCTTTGAACTCCGAAAATATCTTTTCCACGGACATTTTTTCTAATTATTATGATCAAAAGGTAAATGAATTAAATGACAAATTTTTGTTTAAATTATATCTTTTTTAGGTCATAGACCTTTTCAGGGAGTGGACTAGGCGGGTGAGCATTCCGGCTTTCTGAAATTTTTCTAATAAATAATTTGGGATGTTTAAATCTAGAATGATAATTAGATATTTAAGTATGACACTCATCTCTATAAATAATATCTAGAATTCGAACATGCATGTAATTTACATATATATATATGCTGGTTTATTCCTCGTACATATAAATAATTTTGGAAATTTTTTTTACAATTATTTAAAAGCCGCCATTAGTGTACCATCCTTGCTTTATATTTTATTCAAATTTATACCATTTTTTATAACAGGCATGTAAAAAAAAATATTATGTAAATCATTAAGGTCTTTAAACCCTATTATATTTTGATGATGATTCTGGGGTGGAAGCCATGCGTTAAACACAGAATCATTTACATGGAGCCTAAGATATTCCAACGTATAGCAAACGCGGCCTACCCTATTCTTATCGCGATATTCTATCTTGCTGGATTGACTTTAAAAATATTTCGCTGTCGTGATAGTGAATTGAACCACCACCCTAAATATAAAGTATGATGTACGCGTTTTTTTAGTGCTTAAATTTTTATTTAAGGATTTTAAATAATAGATTATTTTGAAATATTTTCTCTATTTAGCCACAAAATAACCGCAATTAAGAAATAACGTTCTACATATTAATTACATATACACATTATTTTTTCTTACCTTTTTCTTTGATCTATTCAAGGGCCCAATCGGATAAACTAATAATGTAAAACAAAAATAATGATAACTTATAATTTTAATTTTTATCATATTACTTTTAAGGAGTATGGGTGTTGGTATTCACACCTAAATTCAAGTAATAGCTTAAATGGATCTAATATTTCTCAGAATGTCCATCATTCAGATGCCTCCTATTATATTATGAGTTTTTTTCATAGTATCCTTCCCGATGCCTTAACATTTGCCCTTCTCTTAGATGGCTATTACTTGTTCCGATTTAAAGATTGGGAATTCATACATACCTTAATGGAAACGGTATTATTGATATTTTTTTTAAACTTCCTATTGTAATTAATAGTATAAAAAATGAATGAACTGGTAATATTATTAAAAAGCCCGATTTTTTTAAACGGCTAATCCAGTATTTCAACTAAAAATATATTAAGCAAACCTAGTGGATTTTTTGCTCATAGATGGCAGAAAGTTTGGATTTCTATTAACGAAATCTCTAAGCTTGTATAGTATTATTTTGGCTTAAATCTTAATTTAAAATTGACGAAATAGAGCCGTTTAATAACATATGAACCAGATACCATTAAAAAAAGATCCCAAAAATATATTCTATGCAGATTTAAAATGATAATTTGGTTTAAGCATTTTTTCTTTATCTTAAAGGAAAAATAATCATAATATCCAAAGAGTGCCTTCTGGACTATTTCTAAAAGAGACTTTTCAAAATTAATAAAATATAGTTCTATCTTAATACAGTTCATCATTATGACCCTAATTATAAAAAATCTTAAATCTTGGTTTCTGCCAAATATGGCCATTTGTTATATTTACTATTTTAGTAGTTGTAAAAATATTAAATAAATTTGTTTTTTTCCCCATAAAAAAACAAGAAAGAAACAAAAATTTGGCAGGATTTAAAATCGTCAATTGACAGTCTTAAGTGACTACCCCGCTTTCCCATGCTGATAGCAGGGGCCTACTTGTGTAATATTACTTTGGATAATATTTCAATTTAAAATCAGTTAGATCAATCCAAAATCAATTATATCAAAAATTCAAAAATTGAATATAGATGAATTCAATTACTTACGCGAATTCTGTAATATATATTATATAATATAAATTAATATAAAGACATTTTTGAAAATTCTACCGCCCTTAGCGGAAGAAGTTGTGGAAAGTGACCCTACATCTTTCATCGTCAAAAGTATGCGGCGTAAACAGAAGGCTTCTAATATGAACGAAAATACCAAAAGAATCCGAGCCTTGAAAGATTTTGACAAAATTTACAAATTCATGATATTTTGGTTAACGATTTTGACTTTACTTTTGATAGTCAAAGGAAGTTTAACGGTTTTAAATTTAACAATGGATCAAAATCTTAGCAAAGAAAATAGGTTTGTACTTTTTTTTAAAAAAGATTGATATTTTGAGTAAATATAGGATTAATATGATTGAGAATTTGAAAAATGTATCATGTATAGTATTAAATAGAAGAATTTATTTGTAATTGTATTACTTTAAAAAGTAATTTGATAGGCTTAAAAAAAATACTCATCGAATAATTACATTATTCGTTTTCCATTAAAAATTTCGAAAAAATTAATTAAATATATATTCGTATTTGAATCTTACGTAAATAAAATCTATTTGATTCGTGGAATATAAGATCCAAAGAATATCTTTAAAAGTGAGAAGAATGCATTATTGAATTTAAAAGGTGAGGAAATATTTTTTTTTAAAAAAATGTAAAGTTTTACAACAAGTTATACTTACAAATAACTTCAAATTACAAATAATTTCATATATTGTAATAATTAGTAATAATTTAAATATTTAGGAATAATTTCAATAATACGATTATTTACATATATTTATCCTCGAGATCTGCAAAGCCTGAGCCTGGCAAATTTTTTAAAAAATAGCAGGTCGGGCAGGGAAATTCATACACAAAAAAAATTTCGGGCATGGCCGGATTATCTATATATATAAAATTTTGATTTAATTTTTTGAACTTCCCACCTATATTTTGGTTAATGTTATTTTTTTAAAAAATTGCAATATTCTTCTTTCTTTTGTATTTTAAGAGCTTTCAAATAATATTAATTCATAAAATATTAAATAAATTATTTATGATCACATTATAGATATAAATATAAAACACTATTGATTTATAAACCGGTTGTTTATGGGGAAGATGGCAGCCTCGATGATTTGAAAAAATAATTAGAGATTAAGCCAAAATGGGCCGGGTTTTGCACATCTCTAATTTATACAAATCAAATATTAGCAAACAATTTAAAATATTTTCAAATAATTTAGAATATTTTCAAATAATAAGAATATTTTCAAATAATTACGAATATTTTCAAATAATTTTGAATATTTTTATTAATATAAAATATTCGAATACTTTTGAATAATTATCAATATTTTCACATTTATAATAATTTAATCAATGGAAGAGATGAGACAATTATTTGATGAATAATTTTTTTATCATTGAATACAGTTGTACTACTATAAATGTTTTTATTAACACAAGAATATCTGAATGGATCATTGTTGGTGTATTGATCGCAAATGTCATATTATCATCTTTGGTGATCGCTGTTATTCTGTGCACATATTTACTACTGTTACAATCTCTAGAATTTTTACTGAGAGACATAAAAGAAAAAATCCTAACCCGACAATTGGATTTAGACATTGCCAAACGGGTTTACATTTGAATTTATTTTTAATCGTTATATATAAAAATATTTATTAATCATTAATCTGTTATGATAGACCCGGGTACTGAGGTAAAGATATATTACTTCATTATAGAAGATTATAGTGTAACAAGAAATAATAAGTTTAATATCAGCAACACTAGTGGTGTAAATAGACCTAAAATTTATATGTAATAAACTCAAACCATAATACATTTAAATGGATATTATTACATTTTTCCCTTAAAGAAATTATTGGTGGGGGGGGGGGGATTAGAATCCTACAATGCCTCTCCTCCATATTCATAGATTGTATATCTATATCTTTTGATAGTAGGTTGTTCCTCAAGGAGATACCCAACTTTTCCCTCTATGAAACCATATAGGTTCATTTTGGATTCTTTGTAATAATTAATGTGCATCTACAAAGACTTCTATATCCCCTAATCCGATGAAGATTTACCCCCTACCCTCTTACCCCCTTCCCATTCCAATTTTATTCAAATAACTATAGCATTTTTATGTATTTTTACCTCTCCATTCTATGACGATCCAGGACGGCTATTTGGTAAAATCATTGTATAATTTCTCTGAAAAAAGAATAAATTTTTTTAGCATCTTTAGTTCGGGGGTTGAGCTATATATCTCCCCTGGATTATTAGAAAGTAGAAGGTCTTTGTGATTCACGGCTTTCTTGTGTATAATATTATAAATACAAATAGCCATTTCGATGTCCTATCCCTTTACCCATAATAGAAGGTATTGTAGTGTTGTATATGAATGACTATGATGGCATTGTTTCCATACATGCCCCATTATTCCACGCTGGTAACATAGTATGAGGAATCAAATTCACAATAAAATAATTAGATTGGCATATGTAGTATTGGAGAAATTTCATATAGTTTTCCCAATTTTTTATTTATGTTTATCAAATAATCTGGATTCGAATCATATTTTAGTATATTTCTTGGTTCATGTATCATAATTATGTTTTGTTTTTGTATGTAGGTTAAATTTCGATAATATAATAATAGCTCACTCTAGTAATGTTTATTGGAAGAAAATTTTTAAATTTAATAACTGAAATAAGGATAAGGAGTAGGATCAAAGGTTAAAGAGATATAGTATAGGATAGGCCAATTTTCTCTTTTAACTCAATTAATAATAATTTAAATTTCTGAAAAAAATAAAATATATTGATAATTTCGCAACAGTCATTTTTATGTTAAATTGTCCATATTCCATAATTCAAGGTGTATTTGAAAGAAATTATTTCAATCATTAAAAACTCCATTTAAAATGTTCTCGAGATATTTACTCAGTAAAAATTTATTAAACAGTGAATATGAAAGGATTAAAAGTGTAGATAAGATATGTTAAAGATTTGACCCTTATTAATGTGGGTGGACAAATATAAGAATGGAATGTATTATAAATTTTATTATAGCAATCCTATAAATTAATTGATCCAGGGACCAATTTGCATACGGGAGAATATTTATATCTAGTGAATTTATTTAAGTAATTGAAGAAACACAAAAATTAACATCATAATAAAGGATAATGCTAGTAATGAAGAAAGCCTGGACACTTGTGAGGAATAAATATCCAATTATCCAATGCATTGGTTCTGCACCTCATGGACTTAAAATACATTTTTTGTTTTCTCTACATGTTGATTCGGTTGAGGTTGGCAAAAAAGACTCGCCAACATGAAATTTTTTTTTAAAAATTTTTTTAAATTTTTTTTAGATGTATGTAAAAATATGAATAATAAAAAATAAAACGAAACAAATAAATTCTATATAAGAAGAAAAAAAAAAGGTAAAAATCATTTTAAAGTTATTCTTATTATGTTTTCATTTAAACTTATTAATATTCCTTGGGAAATATCTATTTACGATATACTTTTTGAGTTGACCTACAATTGTGACGTATATTATTCAAGTGTACCCGGCAGTGATGATGTCGTTTTTGAATTTGTTAGTCTTAAGGAAATGGTTTAGTATTTTGAACAGCTCAATGGAAAGTTTTACGTTTATAACGACTCGGAGTTTATTCAACTTCGGTTTATTTTTATAAAAATATAAAGTGTCATTATGATTTCTAAATATGTATATGAAATATTATTATAATCATTAATAAAATATGGACATTAAACCAGAATTAATATAAAAAATTCCAAAATTGGTTTGACCACTCACTGAGATTTACTTAGACAGAATATTAAGTTATTTTTCGACCAGCACATTACCGGACTCTATTAAAATAAATACTTTACTTAATAATTTATCTGATGATGTGTTTGATAATATTAAATCAATTTGCTCTGATACCGACATATTAGATCTTAAAATAGTGACTAAGAAGTTAACTTACCTTTTACCTGTACAGATAAAAATATTTTAATAAACAAATCAACTTATTACAGCAGAACTGTAGTACTTTTTTTTCTCATATAAGACGGAATTATGATTCTGTTGCTTTTGTAAAGACAATCCTTAATTAAACTTAATTCCAATTCAATGTTTTTATAAATATTGTTCATTATAGGCCTGTTGTTCATAATATCATTTATGACTTGTTTTAATTCAATATCTTTCAAAGTTTCATCACGAATTTGATTAAAATTAATAGGTAAATCCCCATATTCATTTATTATAGTGATATTTTCAACAATTTCATCATGACATTCTTGTGGTAATCTCGAGAGACAATCAGGAACAACATATTTACCGGCTTTATACTTTATATTAAAATCATATCCTCCTAATGTTATATTCCACTTCTGGAGTCGGTACTATTATCCTTAAGACCCTTGGTAAAGATGTGAACTAGAGGTTTATGGTCAGTAATAATTGTAAATTTCGTGCCGATTAAATATTCCTGGAATCTCTTTATAGCGAACATAATAGCGAGAGCCTCACGCTTAATATTGGTATAGTTCATTTCGGATTTTAATAAAGTTCTTGACGCGAAAGCTATAGGTTTTTCTTACCGTCTTTTTCAGTATGAAATAATACAGCTCCTAAACCACATTTAGATGCGTCATAGGTAATTCAGGGGTTATAATATGTCAAAGCAGGTGGAAGACTATCCGACGCTATCACCTTTATCCACGTCATCTTGGGACCTCCTCTAGGTCTTGATCCTCCTACTTCCATCAAAGTAATTCTCTTTACCCTCATCTTTTGTTTTACACTCCACATGCCCAAACCATCTTAGTCTATTTCTTCACATTACCACTCAATCACTTCTATGCCCATTCTTGCTCGCAATTCCTTGCAAGTTCTCTCTCTCAGAGATACACACATCCATCTAATCATCCTCATCTCTATTCTTTCCAATTTGGCTTCATGGGCCGCTTTCATTGCTAATGTCTTGCCTCCAAAACTATACAACTCGTCACACAGCTTACGTAAACTTTCCCCTTTAAATTCAGAGAGAGTTTTTATTTATTAGAATAGACGAGATCTCTCTGAACTTCTTGAATTCTTGTTTAACCCTTGCAACAACAACAGAAATAACCAAATAGCAAACTTTTCTACTTTTCTCAACCTATTGCAAATGTCCAAACCATTTTCTACGTTATCAGTATTATGTATACCTTTTATGCACATTCTACAAATAAAGCTTATTCTTTCTAACATTAAACTTTCCTTTTTCCCGCTACATCGTTTATGCATCCATTTCTGGCATCTGGTGCATTGGATTAAATTTCTAGCAACTACTTTCCTACATAAACCACAAGTCCAGTTGCCGAATTCCTCCATCTTCAGATTATCCCCACCTATCACATTTGTCTCTACTGCATTCATATTCAGGCCCTTTGATTCCATAGAAATCTTCCATCTACTAATAATATCCCTCCATTCTTCCTCACCGCCATTCATACAAGGTCATCTACATATAATAGCTCCCAGAGAAGTCCTTCACGCATCTCTCTAGGCACCACATCTATTACTAAGATTATTTCCATCCGTCCGTACTATAGTTTATGCTCCCACATACATTGCCATAACCAACCATTCTTCATTACCTGATTTTCTCAAGGCCCATCTAGTAACCTCACACGACATCCTGCCAAATGTCTTCTTCAAATCAACAGCATAATACAGTTTCTCTTATTTTGCAAAAAATATTTCTCCTGTATTTGTCTCACTACAAAAAATTACGCCAATCTTGCCGATCCTCGGTATAAAATCACGCTGTATTTCATCAATTTCCGTTTGTTCCCTTATACTTTCATTACATAAGAGTTTAATATTCAATCTAAAAGATCAACTTACCCCTTATTGGAATAATTATACTTTGCCAATCCTCGAGAATAGTTTCTTCTGTGACAATTATATTGGCTAAATTCACTAACCATTTTATCCCTAAGTAATCAGAACCTTTAAAAATTTCTGATACCATTCTCGTTAAACCCGCTGCCTTCCCTTTTTCATCTCTTTCAATGCTCTCTTAATTTCGTTCTTGCCAAATTTAAACCCTGAACCTTCTACTTTTGCACAACTAACATCATTATCTCATTTATTCTCTTCGTTAAAAAGTCCTTCCATGTAAATCTCAAGGTGTTCTTAATACCACTATTATCAATCACCATTTTTTTTCTATATTTTTTTAACATTTAACACCTACCACATCCTTCGTCTTTTTTGCCATCTGCTTTGCCATCCATACCACATTTCCCATTCTTTCAGCGCATCCCATAATTGTAGCAAACTTCTTTGTTCTTCATGCGCTTTCGCTATTAATTTCTTGGAATTTTTTTGCCACCTTGTAGATATGGTTATAATTATTTTCTTTACTATTATACCATTCTTTGAAACACCTCCCTATCTCGTCTACAGCTTTCTCTACTTCTAGATTCCACCACCATGTCTCTTTATGTCTAGACGCTCTTTTGTCCATCCACCTCACCCAGGCTTTTTTCATGGCTTCCCACTTGCCAGTTACCACAAATGCTTGTGCCTCCTCCGTCTCTCTTATCGGTTATGTCACATTGATTGACGTCTAGCACTCTCCTCCTTCAATTTCCAAATCTTCAGCCTTGGGGCGCTTTTTAAAGTGATCTCCTAACTAGTCGGTGCTGGTCAATACATTCCTCTTCCGGTATCACCTTCACAATTTTAACTATGCTCCTATCACATCTCCTTACTAACAAATAATCCACCGCAATTTAGCATCGTCATCAGCTTCCCCTGATTCTTTCTTAAACATTACATTAAAACTATCATATCCATAGCATCACCAAAATTCAAAATCATATGCTAAATACTTGCGTAATTATTAGTAAAAAGCATAAAATTAAATCATATAGCATAACATTATCATACAACATAGTAACTATATTTATCAGAGACCTGCAGGCCCGGCCCTAAGCCCAGCCTGTTTAATTTTTTTAAATATACCCGGGCCATATATTTTAAAACCAAATATTTTAAAACGCTATTATTAGCTATAAAAATTAAATAAATATAATATATTTAAAAAAATACGGGTAGGGCCCTAAAAAATTTTTTGAAGAAAAATCCGGACATGATCTAAAAATATAAAACCCAGGCCGGAGCTAAAAAAAATTGAAAAAAAAATCCGGGTCAGGCTGGCCTGTGCAAATGGTACCTATGTCTCAGATATTTTTACTAAAAATGGGAATGTTATTTTTTTTTAAAATATATTTACAAGGAACTGTTTCGAGTCAAGACTTGGATAGACACACTCAATAACGATTACGCTATCCCACTATTTCTGTTTTCCACCATATGTTTGATATACATTTTGCAACGCTTCCAATCGAACCCTTATGAAGGAATCGCAACGGAAAACGATGATAAAATAAGAGATAGATTAAATTTTAATTCCTCGAGCGATTGGGTCAAGAATACTGATTTAAAAGACACTAGTAAATATGATATAGCTCACAAGGGTGTTGAAATTGAAATAATCCACAGAGTTTTAACAAAATTGAACACGTTGCTTACTACCATCTTGTATACCTCGAGTATTTTCTTTACCTTTACAAAGGTACGTTTAACAAACGCAATGCGTAGCATATTGTAAAATTTATCGGTTATATCTTGTTAGGATGGGGTGGGGTGTTAATATGACGATAAAGTTTGTCATAAAATCTTGTAGTTATTTTAAAAATATGATACAATTTTATGATATAAATAATGATTTATTATTGTTCACACAAATATCTTTTAATTTTATTTAAAACATATATTTTTTAAGGCAGTCAAAATTTCTACCATCGGTAAATTGAATGATTATATTGGCTTGGAGGTTTCTTCAAAACCGTATGGCTTTCAAAATGTCCCACATTCGATCATAGATTCATTTTTGACTTTTACAACAGCTTTGAAATTAAAACCACAAATATGTTGTATGGCACCTAGAACGTGTATTTGCGGAATCATAATCGTTGTGGTGGTGGAATTTATTTATACTTATTTAGCTTAAATTAATTTGTTATATAAAGTGTAAACTTAATTTATACAATAAAGGGAGCCATGGATAAAACAATGTTGGTAAAAGCTACTTAAGTAGCTTGTTACATTAATACTATTTAACCAAAGAGAACAACACGCTACCGCCATTACTATGTTTTCAAAAAAGTAACGCTATTAGTTACCTCTTCAAAAGTAGCGTAGTTTTATATATATCTAATCTGTGTCCATAAATTAAAATTTCAAATTCAAACATGTAAAAAAAAGGGAATGGTTATAAAAATGTGAGCAAAAATTTAAAATATATACTTCATTTATTTTTGTTGTATTATTTCCATATCCCCAAGTCTAGAGCGACGATCAGAAAGTATTTGCCTTACTAAATAAGCTCAATTGCACTTGAGAGCAATGCAGTATCTAATTTTGTTTACATATTTTAAATATGAGAAAAATTATTAAAAAAAGATCGCTAGATATCCATTGAAAATTAAAAAAATAAATAGACAATTAATCGGATTAAATGACCAACCATGACCAAGCACACTTACTTTATAAATATTATTCAGAATCATGTTAATTCATGTTTTATAAATCTGAACATTGCCATATTAAAATATAGTGTTGTAACTCTCCTATAATAAAATTTTAAAAGCTTTGTTTAAGTTAATTATTTTTTGTTACCTTTGGTATACTAATAGACAATCATGTATGATGTTCTATATTAGGCTTAAAAGATTTATAAATTAATAGCTTAAATTATAATTGGAGTCGACTAATGTTCCCTAAATAAACTTGCCCCATCTTCCTTTTTATTCATTCCTTTCCATTCTTCCCCATTCTCTTTTCCAACACTTCTTCTTTCTATATTTTTTTTTAATCAAAGTAATCAAGGATCAATTATTCGACACCTTACTTGTTATGGTGAATGTCAAATTATTTTACATGAAAACAATTATTTTTATTTTACATTTTTTTTTTTAAAAAAGGGGTTATGAATTATATTTATGAATATCAATCAATTTTTAAGTCAGCATAATAAAACCTATATTTTTTTTGAATTTATACGTCTCGATTAATTCTTTAAAAAATAATCAAACAAAATATTAATTTGAATAAATTAAATCAAGATGAGGACCAATTATATATTTGAATAAAAAAGAGAATTTTCAAAGAAATTATCACTCCTCAAATAACTTATTAAATTATAAACATAAGTGTAAGATTAAAAACTCATTTTTTTTTCCTCGAAAAAATAGGTAATATGTTAAATTTAAATTAATGTAACTGCTGAAGTTTTTATAAGGTAATGAATGAGATGAGTATAGTATGTAAAAATTATTTAAACTCACAGTTGATCAGTTATGAATAAATTAATATATATTTTTTTTCGGTTTATAAAAATACTATTCACGTAAAAAAATGCGTGCTAGTTTTTTTATATTTCTAATTAATCCCTTTCCACCTTTCTCATTTCCTTTCATTTATACTTTTCTTTCTTTATGTAGATTGGGGAACTAAAAGTTTTTGGTGTAGTTAAATGGCTCGAGTTTAGCCGATTTTTGAAAACGGCTAACTCAATATTGTAGCCATAAAAATATTGGTTTTGAGATTTCGCTATATTATAATTGTATACCATACATGTTTATTTTTTCCAAAAGGTACACGATTGATGACTTATAAAGTCCTATTATATATATATATATCTGCAAAAAATAATTTATCTTTTTGTAACCAAAATATTATTTAGATTATCTTTTATATTTATCTAACGCATCTTCATAATCCCGTTATATTTTCAAAGAGAATTACAAAAAAAAAATGATATAATCAATTTTTTTTTTTGAATATAATTGGGAATAAAGGTATAAAGGGAAGAACCAACAATATTTTTTTTTAAAAAAGATATAAGAATAGTAGCTTGATTTGTATAATACATTTTTAATTTTCTATTCTACTATAATTCTACCTTTTCAAACATCACCGTTATATTATCATTAATTCTTATTAATTTATACAAAGTTTGTTTTTTTAAAAAAATGCGCAATATGCAATCAATATGTAACCTAATAATTTTTTATTATTTATTTTATTTTTAAATATTATAAATTTTCCCCTACAAATCCAACGTGATATGAAAAAAATCACATTATGAAAAGAAAGAAATAAAAGAAAGAAAAAAAAAATTGATCATAAGGTAAAGAAGTAAGAATAATATTATTGAATTAAAATAAATAACATAAAGTAGCAAATAGCAATACTTATGAAGAAATCTTTTTTTTTTATTAGCGACAAAGCAAACAATTAAAATTGATCTTACAAGATAACCAGAATTTTTTTTGTTTTAAATTATTAATTTCGCCCAAAAATTAAATCATAAAGTAAAAAGAAAAAAATAACATTTTAAATCTTTTTAAAATGTACTACCATATAAATTAACCTACCTTTCGTAATTTTTATAAATAAATCACATAGTAAAACTTTATTTATTAATTTTAATCGTATAACAAATAATAAAATAAATATAAAATTAAAGATTGACAAAATAAAGGAATTCATGAGGTTATGAAAATATAAATAATTTGCTAAAAAAAAATGAAATAAGAAGATAATCATTGATAGGTTGACTTAATTAATTATACATTTTTTTATATTAGAGAAATAAAAATAATATTGTTTAAAAAAAATGTGCCCATATACAACTAAACTTAAAAATTAATAATATACAAAAGTTATTTTAAAATAAAATTAATTGTATAAAAAAAATATATATTCCTAGTCTTAACAAGATTTGAGATAAGGTCGAATTAATCCAAAAATTTGTTTAAAAGTAACGTCAAAGTAATTATAAAACTTAATGCGACGAAATAATATATAAATATTTAACGAAGTATAACACATAAAATAACCCAGAAAACTAATGAACAATTTCTCATCAAATTTAGCTCATTTGGCATTATTCGAACATTGGAATCAAATTTGGTTAATATAGATAAATCCCAACAGTGAAAATCACATATAAATTCTAATCTAACCCTCTCTTTATCAACTAAAAAAAAGTAAATCCAAAAAAAAACTTTTATAATATATTGAAAACAATCCATTTTCATCATTACTTGAAATATAAGAAGAAAATCATTTTGTTTATTTTGTTTGACTTAGCCAATCCTTTCTTACTGTTTGAACGTATTTAAACAAGAATATACGTTTATACACATCTTAAGAAACTATAAATATATTAAATAGTTCTTATCAATTTAAAACACCTTACCCTGCATTTAGCGCGAATTTGCGGCGAAATATACGCTAACTGTGAATGCATGATAACCTCTCATTCACATTTAGCGCAAATTGGCGGCAGAGAATAATACAAAAATACAGCATATTTTGTATAATTCGTTGTGAATTTGCGCTAACTATGAATGATGGGTTATCTACCCTTTTATTATTTTATATTCTATTTTATAGTTATATAAGATAATAATTTATATTTTAAACATAATTTACAACTGGATTCATTTAAACGAACACTTTCTTATATTATATATACCTTGTTGTAGCTTGAATTTTATTCCGTGGTTAAACGACTAATATCCAATTTTCATAATTTTGAGACAACAGATTTGAATGTTTTTTAAAAATTAAAATGGTTTTAGGAAATCAAATGATATATAGGCAAAATAGGGTTAATAAAATAAAATCTTTGTGAAAATTTATTGGTACTATTAAGTATTAAACTAGGTTGCCTTACGGGAAAAATAAATAGAACTATGTTTGACAATACGTTTCTTGACTATTGTAAGGTTCTATCTAAATATTAGTATAAGTAGGGTTTGAAACATTTAAGCATAGCGATTCAGTTTCCTTCAAGTTCTTAGTATAAAATTTTATAAGGGTTTTGTTCCATTGCTATTTTTAAATATATAACTTAATAAGAACTAACAAATAAAATATGCATTTATATACAATTATTTTTAAAAAAATATTGCCTTCATTTTCCGTAAGGGAATATTAAATTTAGACTAAAATAAGGTTTATATTCCTGTGTACAACCGTCGCTAAATAGCTTCATAGTGAAAAATTAACTAAACTTGATTATTAGTGAGGAGTGGCATGGTATATATTAGATATGAACAAAAGCCTGGTGTTGGCTTGAATTTCGAAATTGTAAAAATTTAGCATTATATATTTGAAAAAGTAAATTAAATCTGGGTTAAAATTTTTCCAAGTCTATCATGCATATTTTCAAATTAAGTGATGGTAAAGATACAAAAATACCCAAATCACAATTTTTTTTATTTTAATTATTTGATAATTGATGAATTTTGAACTGAGCTATAAC